CTTACTTACTTACTTACTTATGCCTGAACATGGTGTTCATTATGGACAATCCATGGCATGCACAGAAGTCCAACAACAAAACACCGCTCGGGTTAGGATCGGGGGGGGCGTTCCTCCCAATCACGCCACTCCAGGTCTCACTGTCATTGCCCACGTGGGCATTGAAGTCCCCCAGTAGAACAAGAGAGTCCCCAGGAGGAGTACTCTCCAACACCCCTTCCAAGGACTCCAAAAAGGGTGGGTAATCCGGACTGCCGCCTGGTGCATAAGCACAGACAACAGTCAGGACCCGTCCCCCCACCCGAAGGCGAAGGGAGGCTATCCTCTCGTCCACTGCGGTAAACCCCAATGTACAGGCGCCCAGCCAGGGGGCAATACAGTAAGTATGCCCACCCCCACTCGGCGCCTCTCCCCGTGAGCAACTCCAGAGTGGAAGAGGGTCCAACCCCCTTCGAGGAGACTGGTTCCAGAGCCCAAGCCGTGCGTCGAGGTGAGCCCGACTATGTCTAGCCGGAACTTCACAACTTCGCGCACCAGCTCAGGCTCCTTCCCCATCAGAGAGGTGACATTCATGTCCCTAGAGCTAGCTTCTGCAGCCGAGGATCGGACCGCCAAGGTCCGCCTTCGGCCACTGCCCAGCTCGCATCGCACCCGACCCCTATGGCCCCTCCTATGGGTGGTGAGCCCATTGGAGGGGGGACCCACGTGCCTTGTTCGGGCTGTGCCCGACCAGGCCCCATGAGTACAGGCCTGGCCACCAGGCACTCGCCATGGAGCCCCACCCCCAGGCCTGGCCCCAGGGGGGGGCCCCGGTGACCCGCGTCCGGGCAAGGAAAACCGTGATTCCATTATTTTTTTCATCATATGGGGTCTTGTGAGCCGCACTTCGTCCGGTTCCTCACCCCGGACCTGTTTGCCTTGGGTGACCCTACCAGGGGCATAAAGCCCCGGGCAACTTAGCTCCTGGGATCATTGTAACACGCAAACCCTCCCACCATGAAAAGGTGTCGGCTCCTGGACCTTCACAATGAAATTAAGTAAAAGTGAAGGAGTTTCCTTTACAAACCAGCAGAGATGGACATTGACTTACCAACTGTGGCACTTCAATTCTAAATTGTCTCCTGGCTTGTATGTCTGTTCCCCAAATGTGCAAGTGCATTTCTCCTGGGTAACACATGCGCCATAATTGTCTTCGTATTGACCATCTGGACAGCGACACCCGACCTGACAGATGTCACTCTGAAAAGACGGAAATGCACATCTTGTCGGTTTATACAGGTCTTCATTTCACAAAACACCTGCTTACTCCTACAAGACAATGTCAGACTAACTCGGATGAGCAAAGCTCTTTACAAAGACTCCTGTCTCTGAGCTGTATTATTACTTCTCAGTTGTCTGCACATACTTTTGGCTTATGCAGGGCTTCACACGTTCTCGCTGCCATACTTCCAGATGCATGTGAGCAGTGCTCGTATATCTTTGGTGAAGGACACTCTGCAAAACCACACACACAGTCAGAACACCGTTTCCCACAACTTTATTGTTAAAATGGAGATTATGAGATGCAGGCATTCCAGGTGCACTGTGTTGGTTGCGATCTCTCTATAGTATAAGCAATCTTAATAGTTTCTGTTAGACTAACCACACTATATCCTTATTGATTCAGTGTGTAATTAGTTAATAGTGTTGTCAATCCACAGTGGTCAGCTTCTCACATTTTTAAATGAAAAACATACAATAAGCTGGTTGCATAAATGTGCAGACCTTTAAACTAATACAGCATTCAGTCTTTTTGGGTACACATATCTGCCTTCAATTAAAATGACTCTCATTAACCCCATAAAAAGGTCAGCTGTCCTGGCAGGATTTTCCTGACATTTACTCAGTTGTATCCTACAGCAAATGCCATAGTTTGCAGAGAGCTTACAAAGTATCAAAGGGATCTCATTGTTGAAAGGTATCAGTCAAGAGAAGGGTGCAAACAATGAGATATACCATGGAACATAGTGAAGACAGTCATCAAGAAGTGGAGAAAATATGGAACAACAGTGACGTTACCTAGGACTGGGCATCCCTCCAAAATTGATGAAAAGACAAGAAGAAGACTGGTCAGGGAGGCTGCCAAGAAGCCTACAGCAACCCTGAAGGAGCTGCTGGAATTTCTGGCCAGTACTGGTGCTACACTACATGTGACAACAATCTCCCGTATTCTCCATATGTCTAGACTATGGGTTGGGGTCGCAAGACGGAAGCCTTTTCATACAAAGAAAAACATCCAGGCCTGGCTACGTTTTGCAAAAATTGAGCATCACCAGAAGAACACCACACCCACGGTGAAGCGGGGTGGAGGCAGCATCACGCTTTGGGGCTGTTTTTCTTCAGCTGGCACTTGGGCTTTAGTCAAGGTGGAGGGAATTATGAACAATCCAAATACCAGTCAATATTGGCTCAAAACCTTTATTAGAAAGATGAAGAGGAATTGCACCTTTTCAGCGCAACAATGACCCCAAGTATACATGCACATCAAAAGGAGAATGGCTTTACCAGAAGAAAACTTAGTTTTGGAATGATTCAGCCAGAGGTTAGACCTAAATCCAACTGAACATCTGCGGGGTGACCTGAGGAGGGCTGTGCACAGGAGATGCCCTCGCAATCTGACCCATTTTGAGCGCTTTTGCAAGGAAGTGGGCCAATATTGCTAAGTCAAGGTGTGGCATGCTGATACGTACACTCCTACCCAAAAACACTGAATGTTGTAATTAAATCAAAAGGTACGTCAACAAAGTATGTATTAGTTTAAAGGTGTGCACACTTGTGCAACCTGCTTATTGTAGGTTTTTTATTTTTTATATTTTTGCCCCTAACAGATTTGTTTGTTTTTCAGTTGAATTGTACAGGTTATAGGTCACATTAAATATTTCCTGGTCTAATTTTAACAGGGGTGTGTACACTTTTTATATCCACTGTGTACTGTATATACATTACAATATGTTATTAGCTGAAAGATCATACTTTACCTTCTATTGGTGAGCAGCTGGGTTTTCCATTTTCACACGTGCTATAATTAACAAAGAGGACATTTGTATACGTTCAGATTAGCATGACCACAATAACTGTACCGGTAGGAGTAAAGCTTCATGGTACAATCAGATACTGATGAATTCTCCAAAATCACGAGAGTATTCTTGAATAGTACACTTACTTTATTCCTTTAACAAGCAGAGAAGAAAAAACAACACCATGACGCTAATTCAGCCACACAGTCCCCGTACCCGACAGTAAAAACGGAACAGAATGTCTCATATTGGAATCTACTAATGTTATCCCAACGTGCACCAATAGGTGGAGTAAGAGTTCCATTTTTCTCAGTCAATCAAACCATGTGCAGCCTTCAGCTAAAT